ATTTATGCTTTTTTTGTTTGTTTGTTTGTTTTTTGGGAGTAGGTCTTCCTGTAGTCCCAGCTGGTGGCCTGGAACTCATTATGTAGTATACCAGGCTGGCCTCCATCTCAGGGATCTGCCTGCCTCTGCCTCCTGAGTGTAGCGCTAGGATTAAAAGCATGAGCCATCAGGCCTGGCTAAATGATTTTATCTTTTAATAAAAATGTTTGCTTGAGCAGACCTAGTTCTTACTTGTTGCTAATACTGAACCCCTTTAGCCTTACTGGAGTAGACCCACATCCCAGCAGGTGGTTTTCATCTGTAAAGCCTTGCGTATTCACTCTGTTGATCATTTATGTAAAGGTTTGGCTTTTTTATTTGCTTGCTAGGAAATTGTCTAGTATCTGTTACTGTCCATAAGAGCACTGAATAAGAGCACTGTCCATAAGAGCACCAAATTGCTAGGTGGTGTTAACACTAACCCCCCATCTTGAGGCTCCTTCGCTGTTGGGTCACATCCCCTACAGGCTGATTTGGGGTGTCTGGATTCATGGCTTGCACAGAAACCTAAGACCATTTTAGATTTTATTTCAGGTTCCTTCCCAAAGCCTTGCCAGAAGCCAGGATGTGGGTGCAGGCTGCGATATTTGAGAGTGACCCCAAGAATGAGGAATGAGGGAGCAGGGAGCACCGAGGAGCAGGTCCCCAGTAAAGGTGTCTTGCTGGGATCTCTGCTATCAACCAGGAAAACGCCAAAGACACTTCTGAGAAGCCACAGGCTGCCCCTATGCAGGCCACTCTACCAGAGGCTGGTAGAGGCTGGGCACCTCCACCCACCTGTGAGCTCTGCCTTCACACTGACTAGAGCTGGGGCATCCACTTTCTGTTTGTTTGCTTAAGGTAGGGTTTCGCCACGAGCTCAGGCTGGCCTTGAACTTGCTACACAGCCCTTGTTGAACTTGAACTTGAGATCCTCCTGCTTCTCAAGGACTGAGCTGCACCAGCCTTTCTGGCTGACTCCTCCATTCTCAAGGCTGGGGAGGATCTTGGCGGGAAGGCAGGGCCATGAGTGTGTGGAGGTAGAGAGAAGAGGCTGTGGCCCCTCTGTCCAGTGGCTTCTGCTGCTCCACATTCCTCCAGGAGGAGGCTTGGACCAGGCTTGTCTGACTTCTGGACAGAGTTGCTGGTTACAGCAGCTGCTTTTACCTGGGCATGTCTGTCTTCACCTGGGAACACCTGCTTTTACCTGAACACCTATGCATATCGTCTTCACCTGTGCACACCTGGGCACAGCACCTGTGCATATCTCCCCAGGCACACTTTTGTGCATTGCCTTTACCTGGGTATACCTGTGCACACCTTTTACCTGGGCACCTGCCTTACCTGTATATACCTGACCTATTCTCCATATCTTTGGATAAGTCCCCCCACCCTCCATCAGTCTCTCTCTCCCCTGTGACTCAAGGGCCCCGGTCAGGTCATTCCTACTCTGGCAGCCCTAGAAAGTCCATCCTGCAGGGCCTGAGCCCCCAGCAGCCCAGGGCTTTTCAGGTGTTGCTGCTGAGCACAACATATCGGTAATGTTATTTCCCAGGGTAGAAAAGGCTGTTGTTTGGAATCTCCACAGCATGATGTCCTGGTTTCCAGTTCTCTGTGTCATCCTTCTCAGTTTCTGAGGGGTCCTACTGTGCAGGCCAAGCACGCTTTGAGGGACGGCTGTTCCAGGGTTTGCAAGAAAAAAGGATCAGCTCTCGGAAGGGAGGCAGGGCCTCTTTCTGCCAGCTCATCTCAGCCCTCCTTCCACACCGTTACACACGCAGTCAGCACGCAGCACCAAACCAGGGGCTTCGGAAACTGAGCAGTACAGAGAGTGATTTTCCCCTTTCCTGATCTGAAACGGAGACAAGGCTGTAGGTCTTGTGTGCAGCTGTGGGCCCATCAGAAATGAGAAGGCCTGCCGCCTGCTGGAGAGCTGCCTCAGATGAGCAGTGGCTTAGGGACCTGTGAATACTGACACTGGGCTTGGGGACAGACAGGGTAGGGTTAGACTGGGGGTAGGGGTGAGATGAAACCTCAGGGCCTGAGGTGTGAGCTCAGGGGTGAGATGCAACCTCGGAGCCTAAGGTGTGAGCTCAGGCCCTTGTTGGCATTTCTTATCCTGGATGTTTTCATAAGAGGAATTTAGACTCGAAGGATGTGGCTTGAGCGGAGGACAAAGCTGCACTGGATTTGGGGACACAAAGAAACTGGGGCACAGGCAGGAACCTGTCCTTAAAATGCCAAACCGCAGGCTCCTGGGCAGCAAATAGAGCAAAGGACCGGGAGCACACTGGGGTGACAGACTGGCAGAAGTCGGGGTCCCCAGGGAAGCCTTTCTTGAAGATAAAAACAGTGTTGGCACTTGAGCCTTCCATGGGGACAGAAGTTTTCATGGCTGACTTCTGCCCAGCCTGCCGTGGTGTCTGCAGCCCTGGCTCTGCAAGTGAAGTGTGGTGTGGGGACAGGGACTTGGGGTGGGAGTCTGGCGGGAGCAGGGTAGTGTTCCACCATGTATCTTTGAGCAACATTTCATTTATGTGACATGCCCTCTTGGAAGTCGGGACTGATGGGGGAAGTGGGGTCAGGGTCTATTGCTCTGCAGGAAATCCAAGAACATCAGAATGTTCTAAGAACCACTCCCAGGACCACCCCCAGTTCATGTCAAATAAATCAGCTTGCTGGATGTGGCTAATGCTTACCTTCTTTCTAACTGAGGCGTTATTATTTGATGTAATTGCCCCCCTTGTTCATTCGGCAAATATTTTATCAAGTCTCATGCTTAAGGGAGCAGAGGAGGGACGGAAGTTTGCAGCCACAGCCCTCAGAAAGGTAAAGGTATAACTTACTTCATGTGTGTCCTGAAACAGGCCCCACACACAACTTTTAAAAAACCCAAGTGCTTAAAGATGTCTTTGAAATGTGGGCCAATTATGCAAGGAAAAAAAAAAAGAACTATCTAGAGCAAATGTTTAACTTTGCTTTTGGTGTGTTGAGCTCAGCTGTCCACGGGAGTCTCTCAAGCATATCCTATAAGACTTTGTACATATACATTCATTTTTCCTGAGGAGGGTGCAGACTGGAGCCTGTCTAACCTCAGGGTGTTCAATCACAGCTGGGACCCAGAGACTGGACCTGTGTGTGCACCCCAGTTCCTTTGGACTGTAGATTTGAGGTTTGTAAGCTGTCTTTCCAATAGGGAAACGTACCTTAAAAGCTGGCCCACAGACACACCTCTTCTATAGGGTGGGGTTGTCGAGATTTTTTAAGGTCTTGGGAAATGATTAGCCATGGTCCATCCAGCAGATTAAGCACGTTGCCATGGCACCGAAACTGGGGGCCAGGGGCTCCTGGCACCTCCCCCTCGGTTTAGGCAAACCATGGGCGTCTCTGGAGGGGGCCTTTCACCTGTCGCATTCTCCTGACTGTTCAGCCTCAAGCCACCCCATCCCTCTCTCCACTCCCAGGACAGTGACTGGAAAGCGTTTTCCTTCCCTTGGGCGGAAGGTGCCCCTGCTGAGGCGGCCTGGGAGGCGGACAAACCTCAGCGTGCTGCCCAGGTACAAAGTTTTCAGGCTGCCAACATTCCTGGGCCAAGGGGGCCGCACTTTCCGGAATCCTGTTAACGTACTCCGGGGTGGAGCGGGCTGCCCTCGGGATAATCTTGCGGAATGGGGCCGGGCTCTACCTCCCGGAGGACTTTGTGGTCCGGGAGGGGGGAGGGTGGTGGCGCGCAAGCCACGCAGCCCGGGGCGGGGCGGGAGCGGCTCAGGGCACCGGCTCTCCCCGGGTTGCTACGACAGACCCCGCTCACCGCCCCACGGCCACGAAGGACGGGAGAGACCCGCGCAGGTATAGCGGGGCCCCTGAGGTCCCGGGCCACCTGTCCTTCCGCCCGCAGAGGCCCCCTCCCCCACGCCGCCGGTGCCCGCGGTTGCAGTGCGCCTGGGAGCCCCCAGGTCGCAGGCTGCGCGCGCCGGGCTGGGCGGGGCTGGGAGCCGCGCACCCCAACACCTGAGCAGCCGCGGTTCCCTGGTGCGGCGTCTCTAGGTCCCCGTGGCCCAGCAGGTGCCCGCGATCACCTGTCCTCCCCCGGGGCTCCGGGCCAGCCCAAGGAGCCAGAGCCAGGTGAGGCGGGGGCGGGGGGGCGGGGACGCTGCTGCGCCGGGAAGGACGCTAGGTGGCCTCTGGGCACCTAGCCCCGATTCCCTGGAACATGTGGGTGCATCTGTGTTCCAGAAGCAATCACTGCGGGATCAGCGGGGTCCCGGCCCCACAGAAGCTGAGGATAGGGGTTAGAGGAGAGGGATCCATGCGCTTCCAGTCTGGCGCGCGTCTCTCCAGGGACACCCCTTCCCCCACGTCCCCTCCTGGGCAGCGGCTTGGGTGCAGAGCGCAGCACTCTGTCCCCAGCACGCACGGACCTCCACCTAGTCTAGCACTTCTTGCTCTCCCCCGGGACAGGGCAGCCGGACCAACCTCAGGTCCACGTCCAGGTCTCACGTTCTGAAGGTCGTCCCGGGGGGACCCAGGCCAGCAAAGCCAGGCGGAGAAGCTTTCACAGGGCCGCCAGGGGGCGCGCTGGGGGCGGGGACCCGTAGCCGGATCCCAGGGTCCCCCGAGACCCCCCAGCTGCACTCATTCTGCGCCCGGAGCCTGGAGTACCACTGCGGCAGAGCCGGCTGGCGAGGTCCGGGCCGGCGCGCCCGGTGCAGGCCCGAGGGTGGCGGGTCTGGTGCTTGGGTCTCGGGGGTCGCACAGAGCTCCCCTCGGTGCCCGAGCCCTGCCCGCCACTCTCCCCAGCCGGAGTGTGGGGGACCCGGTGGGCGCAGGGGAACGGCCCCCCGCGTCCGCCCGCTACTGGTAAATTATGCAGGAGGCTGGCACCAGCGCGCTCGAGTTGCTCAAGTTTCCCTGGCAACTTTCGCCCGGGCATCCCTCCTCCCTCGCAGTGGGCAGCTCCGCCCGCGCTCCCGCGCCCCAGGCGCCTTCTCGGGGTGGCCCGGGCATTGGGCCCCGGGCACCTGCAAAGCTCCAGAAGACCCACGCGCGGACCACTACGCTGGGGTCACCGAGGGAACCAGCAGGTGCGACCCCCCTCCGACTTCGCTTCGGGGGTGCAGAGGGTGCGGGAACCTTGGTGGACTTAATTGCCGGGGCACTGAAGCTGCTGGGCCTGGCCTGCTGGGTTCATAGGGTGCTGGGCACCCGGTGGACCTCGCCGCAGCAGGGAAGAGTGCGTCGCTGTTAAGCTCGCCGCACTGGCGCAGAGGTCTGGGGTACTCAGTGGATCTGGTTTCTTGGGCCAGGAGTGTTGGGATTGTGGAGCACCTTGCAGCTCCAGGGCAAAGGTTGTGGGTTCCCGTGCACCTTGCCACCCAAATTCAGAGGGCTCCAGGAGGTGCCCCGCACTGCCTCCTTCCACTGGTCAACTCTGGTGCGCAGATGAGTGGCGCATTTCTGTGGGGCTAGGCACGCCCAGTGGGGTAGAGGCTGTTTCTAATGAACGCGATTTTTTGACTGCTGAGCTTTTTAGTTATTGGTGTGTGTGTGTGTGTGTGTGTGTGTGTGTGTGTGTGTGTGTCTTTTTGTGACAGGGTCTCCCTGTAGCCTCAGATGCCCTGGAACTCAGATCCGCTTGTCTCTGCCTCCGGAGTGCTGGGATTAAAGGCGTGTGCCACCACGCCCAGCCCTACTGCTTAGCTTTTAAAGGGAGCATAGGCCGCCGGACCAGAGAAGGCACTTTGGACCGATGGGTGCCGGGTCAGGTCAAAAAGAAAACGTGGGCCCCAGGAGCCTTCCCAGTGGCATGTTCCTGGGAGCCTTCAGAGGACATCCCAAAATAGTGGTTTCGGAGTGGAAATTCTAGGTAGTCAATTGGATAGATGTGTGACCTCTTTTTCTTCCGAAACCCAAGTTCGAACGTTAATGAGGTCATCCAGCTAATTAAGTTGAGCGGCAGGACGCAGAGAGGTAATTTTGGAAGTCCTAGTTGGAGGATGAAGCTCTAAGGGACTGAACCCGCAGCCTCACCGAACTGGCTCGAGGAGGCTGTGCAGGTGGAATTCCGGACAGGCAGGCTCAGCCTGGACCCAGGTCCCCTGCTGGTGGCCTTTGATAATAGTGACCCACTGCTGAGCTGGCACCCTGTGGACTGGAGAGTATGGTGCATCCACCTGCAGGTGCATTGGGGGTCTGGAGCTTTCCAACCACTTGCAGGTGGCCCCAGACTGAGTCTGATGGAGACTGGAACCCTCTATTGCTGTGGTTGAAATGACCTGAGGCAGCTGTGTCCCTCTGGTGAATGGAGGGAGTACAGGTGTGCCCCCCCACCAACAAAGCAGGGTGACAGGTGGTAGCTGTGGGTTTTTACCCGGGAAGTCACCTATCATAAAGCCAGCATGAGGGAGGCTGGAACTCCGTGTGGAATAAGGCTGTCTTCCTGGTGGCTGGATGTTAAAACTCCCTGGGGAGCAATGTTCTCAAGGAAACAGATCCCATTGTTTGTACTAGGAATTCTTCCAAGAAGGAGGAGCCAGCGGCTAGCTGGGCTAGCTGAACACTTCTTTGGAGAGGCTGGAATGCAGGTAAAGATGGTTCTCAGGGGTTCTGTCCACAGCCTTGGCTACTTGTAACAGGTTGTGTTTTGAGGAATTGTGGTCCGGAAGGCAGCGTCTCTTCCTAGTGTCTAAGGTACTTTTTTAGAAAGCCATGTTTGTAGTAAGGTCACCCATTCATTTATTCTGTGGAGGGTGTGTGCACAGTCCCCTACTGGCATCTTAGGGCAGCTGTGATCACGGGCAGGTTGCTTGGTCCAGGCCTTGGGGTTGTGGTGCTTTCTAGGACACTGGATCACTAGGGGGCTGAGATGGAGTGCCCACTGTACAGGGCAAAGGCTTTGGGCATAGGGTGTAGTTTTATATCCCATCGTGAGGAAGAGAATGAGCAGTAGGGCATGCTGGGAATCATTCAATCTTCAGAACTGCCCCCACCCCAAGAACCTTACAGTGCTGGGGGTGATGGTGCACACCTTTAGTCTCAGCACTCGGAAGGCAGAGGCAGGCAGATTTCTGTGAGATTGAGGCCAGCCTGGTCTACATAGCAAGTGCCAGGTCAGTTGGGTCTACAGGGAGACCCTGTCTCAAAAGGATGAGAGAGAGAGAGAGAGAGAGAGAGAGAGAGAGAGAGAGAGAGGGTTTGTTCTAGAGCACGTTTGTTTAGATACTGGATGGCAGAGTTCTGGGGTCTCTATAGTCTCTATGGGCTGGACCAAAATGGGCTCTCAGAATCCTAGCACTGGCCTCTGTGACTGAATCTCTTCCTGGACCTGCGGGACCTGCAGCCCCAGTGGCTCCCCAGCTGGAATGGCCTGTCTGAGCTGGCATTATGGTCTCTTCAGAAGCCCTGCTGTCCTGTGGCTGTGACCCCCATGGGAGGTAACATTGAGGAGGCTCATCCAGGAGACCCAGAACCTCTTGCTAATTCTCAGAATGGAAATGGGGGTGCACGCACAGGTCTTTGTCCTCTTTGGAATAACTAATCTCTTCACTTGGGCACTGGTGTGTGGATATTGGATGAGCGTGAACCCACTGATGGGCTGAAAACCTGGCATTCTCTCCCTCTCCAAACCCCCGTGGCATTTGTGTCCTGACACACCAGCTAACCACTCACCCCAAGGAGAGGCCTACCATCCTCTGCTAGGCAGAGGTGAGCTGGGCATTTTCTCTGTCTTGTGTTAAACTCGGCAGCTTATCCAGGGGTCTGCTGATCTGTCAGGCCTGGAGCTAGATGTTGGTTGCTGCTCCCTGGTGCTTCCAGGTGGGTGGAGGGCAGAGGGGTTAGGACCTGTTAGTGCATGTGATGTAAGAGCTGATGAGTGTAGTGGCCACTGGGTATTGTAGGGCACAGAGAAGTTCTCTGTGTGTCAGTGAAGGGAACCATACTAACCACCTGGTAGAGATCTGGGTGGGCTGACTGCACTCCCAGGATTGAGCAGGGCCTTTGCACAGCTGATGTCCTGAGCCTTGGGTGGAAAGGTGCCACCCAGCAGCTCCCAAGTAGACAGAGCCAGATACGCTGCACACTGCCCTCTGTGGGCATCTTCATTTTGATCTTGCTGTCTTAGGTCTCAGAGCCCCTAGAGAAAAAGGGAAAAATAGAAGGGGGGGTAGAGAAAAAGAGAGAGAGAGAGAGAGAGAGAGAGAGAGAGAGAGAGAGAGAGAGAGAGAGCCGATATCTATTCCGTTTTCCAGTCCAGCAGCCTGAGATTCTGGAGTAGAGCCACTTGCCCTTGCTGTGGGCCCCCGAACCTGTAAGGAGAAGCCCCCGAAAACCTGGGGATCCCAGCCCACTTCACCACACCCCACCAGAGCTAAACAGGCATCACCCAGCGGGATATACCACCAGAATGTGACAGAAAATTGGTTGTCTTGTTCCTGTGGTGTGAAATTGAGTTACCAGTAAAAAAACGAAGCTTCTGAGCAGACCACTTGATGGGATGCACATTTTTATTATTGTTGGAAACAGATTCACAGAGCTGTTGGACACGGCTCATGGGATTGGTTTGGTTGGCTCTGGTGGGAACACACAGGTTGTCTGGGTAACAGGACACCTCTGACAGGGGACTTCTTCCTTCCATTCAAGGTAGCATCCTAGGCCTAATCAGGAAGGGGAAAGACATGTCCAGCCCAGTACCCGGAGCCTGCACAAGGCCGACAACCGGAGTCAGTCTGATGCCTGGTTCTGGCAACGGGCCAACTGTACATAGTACTTCTGGGACGGAAGCTTTTAAAAGCCTTTGGGGTGGTGGGGTCTATGGGCCACAGCAATAAGCAGGGAGCCCTCTGATTGGCTGCCAGATGTGGCTGCCAACCAAGGTGAGGGCCAGTCAAGGAGGATGGGAATGGTGTCTGAAAACTGTCTGGGGTCTCAGAATTGACAAGTCACAGACGCTGAGCCTGGGCTGTAGATTCCGCAGGACGGGCTGCCAGGATGCAGGAGGGTGCTGCTGCTCACTACAGTATTCTGCCTGCAGGAGTTCTGGAAAAACCCACTTTGAGAAACTTCAATAGGAAAGATAGTTAATGCTGTTTCTGAGTTACTTAGCTTAGAAAGTCTGTACCAGAGAGACAACCCCTCCCCACCAGGACGCATCCATTAGGTATATGAATCTTAGCGCACTGCTGCTCTGGGGTCATATCTCTTAAAAAAGTTTCTTTCTTCCTCTTTCTCTCTAAAAACGTTACTTTTAAAACTAGGTATTGTCTGTCTCCCGCAGTTCTTGGAACATCTTCTTTTGAAACATTCACATCCAGTGAAGCCGGAGGGACTTATGTACTAAGCCATTCATCCTTGTTCAAATTGTGCAGTTAACCCTTGGTCAGACGGCTCAATTATTCCTGAGTCAGCATCTAGGATGTTCTTTACCTGTTTCAATATTTGCAGCGGATACAGGGCGCTTTCTGTTTTATAGTCTTGATAGTTGGAAATGACTGTTGTCTAAGTCTTTGACTGCCCACAGCAGTGCAAACCACTATAGACCACCTCCATCCCCACCTTTCTTAGATAAACAAACTAGCTTTAAGGACTTATTGGTGTTCTTTTAAAAAATGTTTTTTGGGTGCTCCAAATTGTACCAGGCCCTTGTTGCTAGGCAAATGTTTCACTGAGCCGCACTCCCATCCCCTCACTGGGGGAGTCTAGGCAGGTGCTGTAGCACTGAGTTACCCTCCAGCCCCTCCTGGGGGATTCTAGGCTGGTGCTCTCCTGTTGAACCATGCCCTCAGCCCTGTTCTCTTTATTTTTAATGTGGTTATTTCCTCCAACGAATTTTCTAGTTTAATACATTTTTTATGCTCCTGGGTCTTTTATTAATTAAGTTAGCATAATCCTCAGCAAGAAGAAGTATATAAATTGGCTTTTGAAAGCTTCCCTGTGACCTAAGTCACTTGTGGATTGAGACAGTGGGAGGTGATGACCAGGTGCCATATAAAGACATGAATGTTCAGACAGGGCAGGAGAAGGTGAGTGGACACATTGTTCTGAGAGGCAATTTGGTGTTTTGGTGAGAGTCATCACTGAGGCCACA